CTCCTCTTTCTTGCTAATTAGACTCTCAGTGCTCCACCTGGGGCCTAGCCGTGGATGTCTGCATCCAGATTCCTCAGTCCTTGTATGGGGTTTCTGGCACAACTATTAGGGTGTTTGGCTATCCCATCACCAGAGTAGGTTAGTCCCAGCTGTCTCTCGACCATTGCCAGCAGTCTTCAGTGGGGGTATCTTTGTGGATTTCTGTGGGCCTCTTTAGCACTTTGTTTCTTCCTTTTCTCAGTGTACTGCCCAGTGTCTCAGTTGTCTTCCTGTTGCCTGCAAGATGTAGGACTCTCAGGTACTTCTCCAGCACCTGCATGCCTCCTTGCTTCCCACCATGATGATAATGGACTAAACCTCTGAAACTGTAAGCACCCCAACCCAATTAAGTGTTTTCCTTATAAGAGTTGCCATAGTCATGGTGTCTCTTGACATCAATAGAAACCCTCACTAAGACAGTACCTTTTGACAAAGGGACTGGCTTTCACAGAAGCATGGCTTGGGTTCAGTTTTCTTCACAGGAAGAACGTCAGAATGCACTACAACAGAAAAATCATCTTATTGATGGAGTAAAGATCCATGTTCAAGCTCAGAAATCAAAGGTTTTGCAAGGGGTTCAAACATCTGGTGGAGAGAAAGGTTTCCGAGATTAGTGTACTATTCATTGAATAAACATAACCGACTTTAAAATAAAACAAAACATGGAAACATCATCTTGGCATGTTCTCTTACCATTTCTTTTAATGTTTGCAGCAACATTACAAAAAAAAAATAGATGTCTATGTTCTCAAGTAGTGGTTACTGTGAACTGGATTATATCAGAATTAAGGAACTCCTGAGGTTTATAAGCATAAAGTATTTGATACTATTTTATGTAATGTGGCATTACGTTTGTTGTATTTTTCTGTGTATAGGTAAGTATCAGTTTTTAAATGAAAGCATGTAGACTAACCTGATCAACAACTTGAGGTTGTTGTATCAAGTTATGTTGTTATTAACACTCAAAAGTTCCCTGAAGATGGGCTGGAAAGACGTCTTATGCTCTTCAATTTCTTTCCATGTGTTTTTTTTTTTAAGAGATAAGAAGTCTTTGTTAAATCTGGAATTGCTAATTTAGCTAAACTGGCAAGCCAGTTGTGTATGTACACCATCATTGCAATTGTGCATCCTGGGATTCTCTTACATCCTCCTGTGGTTACAGATATGTGCCACCCCAGTCAACAGTGGTGTAGGGGACCTGAACTCAGGTTCTCTTGCTTGTACAGCAAGAACTTGACTCACTGAGCCATCTTCAAAGCCCTGAATGTGACATTATTTATTGCAGTGAAGTCTGCTTTTTACCTGCTTTCTAGAACCAAGTCAATGCACAAGCTCACAGATGCTTATTGGAAAAGAAGTTATCATCCCCATGAAGAAAGACCCTGCATTACAACCACACAAATCTTCAAGAAGAAACCCATGTCCACTAATGAGAATTACTGTGCTCAAGTCAAAAGGAAACATTTAAAACTTTAAAGAGTTGATAGCCTTTGCGATTAAAACTGATTCTTAGGTACCCCAAATGCCAATATAGTCAAGTGCTAACAAAAGCAATAACTTGATGCAGCAACCTCAAATTGTTAAGCAGATTAGCCTACATGCTTTCATTTAAAAAAAAACTTATACTTGTGTATACATAGAAAAATAACAATAAAAGTGAATTCAGAAGTTAGTCTAAGCTATACTGCATGTTTATATGACCAGTCTCTGAATGCATAACTGCAACAGAATGACTCTCCTGTTCTAGAATCTTTGACTCACAGGGTAACCCATTCTTTTAGAAAGAGCTAGCCTGGCAAGATGGTTCAGCAAATAAAGACAGTTGCCTCCAATCCTGACAACCTGAGTTTTATCCCTAGGTCTCTCATTGTTTAAGGAGAGAATTAACTCCAACAAATTGTTCTTTGACCTCTACAAATGCACAATTGCAATGATGGTATACATACACAGAGTTAATAAATAAATAAATAAATAAATAAATAAATAAATAAATAAATAAATAAATAAATAAATAAATAAATAAAGACAGTTGTTTTAAAGTGTTAATTACAGTTCTCCTAGAGTAGTAAATGGCATTAGGCTTTTGTAAAGTTTTTTTTAAAATTTTTATATAAAAGTTTTTTTCCACTTATATACCAACCACAGTTCCACCCCCTTCACCTCCTTTTGCTCACCGCTCACCTTCCCCCGACCCAAACCCCCATCCACTCCTCAGAGAGGGTAAGGCCTCTCATGGGGAGTCAACAAAGTCTGGCCTATCAAGTTGAAGCAGGACCAAGCCCCTCCCCCTGTATCCAGGCTGAACAAGACATCCCTCCATAGGGAATGGGCTCCAAAAAGCCAGTTCATGCACTAGGGATAAATCCTGGGCCCACTACCAGTGGCCCCACATACTGCCCAAGCCACACAACTGTCACCCACATTCAGAGGGTATATTTCCATCCCATGCAGGTCCCCAGCTGTCAGTCCAGAGTGGGTGAACCCCAGCTAGCTCAAATCATCTGTCTCTGTGGGTTTTCCCATCATGACCCCCCTTTGCTCATATAATCCCTCCTCCCTCTCTTCGACTTGACACTGGGAGCTGCACCCATGCTTAGCTGTGGATCTCTGCATCTGCTTTTATCAGTTACCAGATAAAGGTTCTATGATGACAACTAGGGTAGTCATTAATCTGATTACAGGGGAAAGCCAGCTCAGGAACCCTCTCAACTGGTACTTGGAGTTTTAGCTGGGTTCATCTTTATGGGTTCCTGGGAATTTTCCCAGCGCCAAGTTTCTCCCTAACTCCATAATGGCTCCCTCTATCAAGATATCTCTTTCCCTGCTCTCCTTCTCTGTCCCTCCCCCATCTTGGCCATCCTATTCCCTCATGTTCTCTTGCCACCTCCCTTTATCTCCTCCTCCAACACCCCCCATGCTCCTACATATCTGATAGAGGCTAATATTCAAAATATATAAAGAACTCTAGAAATAGATATCAAGAAAATAAATAACCCAATTAAACATGGGGTACAGATCAAAACAGAGAATTTTCAGTAGAGGAAACTCAAATGGCTAGAAGCATATACCCAAAGGATACTTCATCCTACTACAGAGAAATTTGCTCAACCATGTCCATTGTTGCTCTACTCATAATGGCCACTAATTGGAAACATTATGAATGTCCCTCAATGAAAGAGTGGCTAAAGAAATGTGGTACATTTACACAATGGAGTATTACTCAGCCATTAAATATGAATTCATGAAATTCACAGGTAAATGGATGGAACTAGAAAAAAAATCATTATGAGTGAGGTATCTCAGATTCAGAAAGGCTATTATATATTCACTTATATGTGAATATTTACTGCTAGGTCAATGACAATCAAGCTATAATCAGTAGAACCACAGAGCTTGGGTATAGAGTGAGGGACTAGTTTGTGGGGCAGATAGATCTCCCTAGAAAAGGGAAATAGAATAGATAGTTATGAATGGAAGAGGTGGGTAGGGATGATATGGGAGGATCAAGTTAGAGGGAGGATAATGAGGGAATGCCCTAAAATTAAGGAGAATTTAAAGGGTAGAATGGAAACCAAATACAATAAAAGCTTCCATATATATATATGAAGGAGATCTAAATGAAATCGCCAAATAATGGGGGAGACAGAATTCCAACCAAGAGATGATTGGGTGTCATCTCTTGTCACCCAATTAAGCTTCCAGTATTGGGATTGGGATAAATGTAATTGAGTTGCTGGCCAAAGGCGTCCCAGGGGAGTCTCCAAACAACACAGGATGTTGCCAAGCCTAAGGCTGCACTCCACAAACTGATGGCAAGGCTGCATTATTGAATACAACACCTATGTAACTCATTGAGCATGGAGAAGTTGAGCTGGTGACTGCATAGTCTTAACCCCTATGTTATAGCATCTTTGGTCTAGAAAAGACTCTGCACATTACCAAAAGAGAAACAGAAACACAAACCTGGCCACAAGCACTTGATCTAAAGTGGTATTTTCCTTTCAAGACAATTCTAGTACAGTAGTGGCACAAAGCTTGTAGGAGTTACCAACCAATATCTGATTTGAGTTAAGGCTACTCCATGAGGTAAAACCCATATCCAACACTTCTTGGATGACCAACAACCTGAGGCTAGAAAGCACAGGGAACTAGTGCAATACCAAACAGTCCTGGTCCAAAAAAAAATAAAATAAAATAAAATAAAAGGATAGAAAGCAACAACAGCAAAGTAGTGATAAAGTGATTCCTATTGACATTCTGCTCTACTCAGATCAGTCCCTTGCTCAGATCAGCTTTCATCAAAGAAGTATTCTCCTGCAGCAGATGGGAACTAATACGGAGACCCAGAGCCAGGCATTATGCAGAGAGTGGGAGACAGCCTAACAGAGGTGTCTTCATCAAATCTCTTCCCTCAGGGATCAGGGAACCTCTTGGAAATAGGTGGCAGAAAGAGTGTAAGAGCCACAGTGGATAGATGACATCAAGAAAACAAGGCCCTGTAAATCAACATGAACAAAGCTCATATGAACTCACAGAGACGGAGGAAGCAAGCACAGGGCTGGCATGGGCTGCATCAGGTCCTCTGCATCTATATTATGGTTTCCAGTTTAGTGGGGGTTTTTTGTGGATTTTCTGAGTGTACAAACTTGTCCTTTCTCTTGAGCTCTTTTATTTCTGTTTGTTTTGTCTAATTCCTATTTGTTAATTTTTGTTTTATCATATTATATTATTGTTATGCTATGTTATGTTATGTATTATATTATATTATATTATATTATATTATATTATATTATATTATATTATATTATATTATATTATATTATATTATATTATAAGTCTATTTTCTAGTAAGACACAGAAAGGGAATAGATCTGGAAAGGAGAGGAGGTGGGAAAGATCTGGGAGGAGTAGAAAGAGGGGCAAAAAATATTAAAATAAGTAAAAAACACCACTGGGTCTCAACATTATAGCAATATAAAAATTAAAATCCAACATGGTAAAAGTAGTGCCATTTACAATATATTCAAATTTGAAACACTTTAGTAAAGTGCAAACTCTAATGTTTAAAATACCAAACACCCACCCAAACTTTCAAGGAAGACATAATTGAATGAAAGATGTCATCTTTGGCTTGTTCCTCAGCAACACTTCTCAGCAAGTCCTCCTACAGATTGAATGTGATGCTTTTCAAGCTTCTGGCTTTGAGGATGGAGAGATGACTTCATGGTGAAGAGCATTTGCTTTTAACCAAACTTTGTTTTCCAGCACCGTCATTGTAAAACTCTTAGCTTCTACGAGACCTAAAATCTCTGACCTCCGGGAAAAGAGCGTGTGTGTGTGTGTGTGTGTGTGTGTGTGTGTGTGTGTGTGTGTGTGTGTACATACAAATTTCTGCCTTTGAAAAATAAACCTTAGGCCAGAGTGGTGGCAATTATAATAGTCAGAAGGTAAAGGCAAAAGGATCCGAACTTCAGTGACAGCCTCTGCTAAATAAGTTTCAGATCAGTTGAGCTACAGGAGACCCTATTTCAAAATGAAAATAGATACCAATCAGTAGACCCTGAAGTGTATATAAAAACACAGAAGGAATTTAAATGGCCAGGTTAAGTCAAGTGGTCATCTCAGGGACTGCAGTGTCTTCCTCAGTCCTCACTATGGTCTAGTAACAAGTGTGCTCTCTGATCCCAGTGCCATGGGTAAGGCCTTCTCAGAGCTCCTCCCTCTGTTTCAACTGCGATTCTGGGCCCAGGAGGGTCCCTCTTCCAAGAGATAAGTCAACATCTGTCCCATTCCCCAGCTATGTGTCCCAGGATGTCAGCACTGGCGGCAGCTCCCCACCACACACATATCAAACTTTGGTTCCATCATTAAGAATGGAAAGCAGCATGCCTGTGGAATATCACACCCTTGAAGAGAGGCCCTGTTTGCTTCAGCATGTCAAGCAGCAGGATGCACACTTCCCAGGGACTTTTGCCAATATTTTTATTTATGGAGAAGAATGAGCTCACAAGCAGATCCAGAAATCTTTGTTTCTAACTTTATCCATGTCCAATAAAAACAGTCCAACTGATATGTATAGAGATTTTTTTCTTTCTTTTTCTTTTTAAAAACTGTTGGCATTTTTAAAATGCCATTACATCATCTCCTGGCATCCATTGCTTTTGGCAAGAAACCAGATCTCATTATTGTTCTTCTACACGTGTTGGTAACTTTTTCATCTGGCTATTTTTAAGATTCATCTCTGAATTGCTTTACAGCAGTATGATGAGGATGTACCTACTAATGGCTTTTTTTTATTTTCTGAATACATACAGGATATAAGACTTAATAGAGCATTTTTTCAAACTTCCTAATGTCACAATCCTGTAATAAGGTTCCTCATGTTGTGGTGACCCTCAACCATAAAATTATCTCGGTTGCTATTTCATAACTAATTTTGTGACTGTGTGAAACATAAATATATTTGGAGATAGAAGTTTGCCAAAGGGGTCGAGACCTACAGGTTAATAACCATTAGTATCAGTTGTCAACTCGACTGTATCTAAAGTCAACTAAAAGACAAACACCTGGGCAGTTCTTAGAGGGGTTTTCTAGATCCAGTTAGGTGAAGTGGGAAGATGTGAGCCACATATTCCCGGGGAGCTCTAGATAAAAACAGGAGAAAAAAGCATGTCACTGCCACTTCCCTTCAGTCTCATTATCATGCTTCTCCCTGCTGCTGCATGGCTGTATTCCTTTGCTGATATTGGGAGTCAGCTCTAGGCTTCCAGCATGCATTGTAGACCAACAGCTCTTGAGCTGTTCTCCAGGCCTCCAATGCCACACTGGGACTACTGAGTTCCTGTCCAGATCTTACTGTTTAAGTCACTAATACATATATTTATTTTATCAGTTCTGTTCTACTAGAAAACCCTGCCTGAAAAACATGCATTGCACATTTCTTTTGAAATCAAAGATGGACATTTTAATAAAAGGGTTGTTTTTTCAAATATTCTCCTATTTTTTCTTTCTTTCTTCTTTTCTTTGATGCCCCACTTACATTAATGGTAAAATGATGGCTATTATCTGTAAAAACTATGTTCTCACCTTTCAGTTTTTACTCTCTCTGACTGACAATGACCCCTTTCCAATGCCTCTGATGATTTTGGAGTGGGTTGCTGTTATGCTTCCTGCCCTAGAAGTGCTATATCAAAAATATTATTTTTGGCCTTGGACTCCATTTAGTCCTTTTAAAGACTTCAAATAATTTCCTAAAATTCTCTGCCTTCACACACACCGCACTCTTACTTTTCTGTAGGTCTCTATAGATACCTAACATGTTATTATGTGTATTATGTTATTACATGTGTTGTTGTGACTGTTTTAAAATTCTTATTTAATGACATCCATCTCTATCATCTGTGTATTTGTATTTTAAGACAAATTTATGGCCTTAACTGTAAGTTATTTTGCTGTTTTGAGTGTCCTTTAATATTTTAGTTATGTTTTGGATACTGTGTTGACAAAATGTATGTGTGTGTGTGTGTGTGTGTGTGTGTGTGTGTGTGTGTGTGTGTACAGACATAGGTATTTACACACTGAAGTATTTACATAGAATTTACACACATGACCAAATATGCCCATGGCTGTTTCCTTGATCTCTTAGTTGAAAATGCCTTGAAGTAATTATAAGCTCTCTGTCTCTCTCTCCCCACCTCCCTCTCTCCCTCTCTCTTCTGCCCCTTACTCCTTCTCTTCTCTCTCCTTCTCTCCATCATGAGTTTGTGTGTTTCTTTTATGTTGCTATGCTAGCAGACCTGGCTTAATTGGTGACACTCAAGCAACACAGAAACCCAAACTCATAAAAACCAAAATGAGTGCCCCGAACCATATCGCTGAGTTTGGCCTCTGGTCTCCCAGACACCTACACACATGTGCACACAAAAAGACATAAACATGTCAAAAACACTATTTGATTGAGCATTTCTTGGGTATATGCCCAAGAGTGGTATAGCTGGATCTTGGGGGAGATTGATTCCCAATTTTCTAAGAAAGCACCATATTGATTTCCAAAGTGGTTGTACAAGCTTGCATTCCCACCAGCAGTGGAGGAGAGCTCCCCGAGTTCCACATCCTCTCCAGCATAAAGTGTCCTCAGTGTTTTTGATCTTAGCCATTCTGACAGGCGTAAGGTGGTATCTCAGAGTTGTTTTGATTTGCATTTCCTGGATAACTAGGGATGTTGAGCAATTCCTTAAATGTCTTTCAGCCATTTGAGCTTCCTCTGTTGAGAATTCTCTGTTTACTTCTATAGCCCATTTCTTAATTGGACTGTTGGTCGTTTTGATGTCTAATTTCTTGAGTTCCTTATATATTCTGGATATCAGTCCTCTGTCAGATGTGGGGTTGGTGAACATCTTTTCCCATTCTGTAGGCTGTCGCTTTGCCTTGTTGACCGTATCCTTTGCTCTACAAAAGCTTCTCAGTTTCAAGAGGTCCCATTGATGGATTGTTTCTCTCAGTGCCTGTGCGACTGGTGTTATATTTAGGAAGTGATCTCCTATGCCAATGCGTTCAAGACTACTTCCTACTTTCTCTTCTAGTAGGTTCAGAGTAGCTGGATTTATGTTGAGGTCCTTGATCCACTTGGACTTAAGTTTTGTGCACGGTGACAGATATGGATCTACTTGCAGCCTTCTACATGTTGATATCCAGTTATGCCAGCACCATTTGTTGAAGATGCTTTCTTTTTTCCATTGTACACTTTTGGCTTCTTTGTCAAAAATTATATGTT